AGACTCCGCTCGCCTGCACAGGCCCCGCCACAACTCTCCGTATTTGGAGCAATGGACCTTGAATCTTGTGTTATTAGAGAAAACAAATAATGGAGGATCCATGCTGTCAGCCTTAGCACGTGGAATAGCCCAAACCACCCGTTCTGTTCACACTTACTTTAACAGCCTGGATTTGTTTGTCTTTTCTGGCACTTGTCCACTGCAAAATTACACTCGATCTGAGCTGCAGGTGACTGTGCATGAAATGGAGACAGTGGAAGTTGTAGGCACCAAAGTCGGAATTCAAAAACAGAACATCTGGAGACGAACTGGTGGAAAATGGATACACTGCACATCTCAGAGGACCTCCGGTGGATCAGTTTATTATCCATCCGTTTTCTATAGCGCCATTCTAATTCGGGTCATGGGTGAGCTGGAACTTCACAAGTATCAACTGCATGGCACACACTCACATTCACACCTACGGACAATTTAGTCTTCAATGAACCTATTGTGTATTTTTTTAGAATGCAATAAGCCATAATGACAACACATGCACAACCGGGGGGGGGGCCAAAAAAAATTCCTTTAGTACGAGTGTCTGTCATGAAAGTAGACACACATGCTAATGTGTGCTAGCTTAGCCTAGCTATACACAGCGCGTACTGGACATAATGTAACAATCAACAGATATTCAATTTGCTTTGAATCGTGAACAGACCTCGTCGGCCAGAAGACTGACACCTTTGCCTAAAATGCATCAATATTTAGTGTACTTAGTTCGTCATTAAAATAGCGTTAACAACCTACTTATCCAAGCAAAGTGTTCAAAACCGCTATGAAACAGATCTTGCGGCTACATCAGGACGAACTATAATGTTGGAGTGGATCACTGCAGAAAGTCCACTAACCATCATTCAGTGTGTGGTTGCTGATTTCTGGAAGGGCGCAACATTTGAATTCAACTGGAGTGTTAAAGTGTGCCCCGATTAGTCTTGCATTTTGAAATACAGAGCCATATCCTGCGATCACGGTCTGTCTGACCCAAAGTATGCCTGTGGTGAAGTCATGTCAAGCCTTCAAAGCAACGACATTAACATCCGAAACCGGAGGACACCCTGCTCAGGCCACCCAGGTTATGTTGGATGAGACGACCTTCATTTTTTTTCCTATTTGGATTTTACACGAGCGGTCGTCCCCCTGCACACTAAATCACTCAGGTGGTTTTGAGAAGCGACGATCGGTCTCTTATGTGACGATTTCTGCCTCTTGCCTCCTCTTTTATCACCCATTCCACGCAGTGCGCTCTCATTTCAGCCTGTGGAGATTCTGGCCATGGGCAGTTGTCTCACAACAGAGATTTTTATTTTGACAACCGACCTTAAACGGTAGTTTGGCTCAAATAACTAATCCCGCTTCAGTACTAAATATATATATATATATATTTTTTTTACCCTCCATTTTTCAAAGCGTCTCCACGCCGACCACCATTTATAGGAATATGTCGAGCAAAAACCACGCAGGGACTATCTGGTACATATTTTTTTGTTTAACACAGTAAGCCCGTTCATTCCTCTTGATCCCATTTTCAAAAATGTGATTTTTATCTCGCTTGGGCGATGAATCCTGCGGCAGAGGCCGGGAAAATCTTGCTGTGCTCTTCGTGTGCATGTAACTCACTTCACTGCATTTAGTTGGAACAGAACAATTATATGGAGACTCGACACATCTCTCGCTCCGCCTAAATTGTTTTGACGGCAGTCTATATTGCATTTTTCTGTTTTGCATTCCATGTAGCCTATGGGATGTACTTTCTATCAGAACCGCGACGACGTGGCGAGAACGATCCAAGATGTGATGATTTTGCTGTCCTCTGCTTTGCTGATGTGTATTTATGAGATTTGTGGCTTTGGACATTGTGATTTTCTAGGAATGTTGAATAAGGGATCATTTTAAAAGAAATCTGCCCCCAATTATATGATTATTATTGTGGACACAAATAAAGTGGCTGAAATGATGCTACGAAAGGCATTTGTATGAAAGGCTACACTGAAAAGAAAATGGTCATTATGCTATAATAAAGCAAATATATTCACTCTTTTTCTTTGTTAGTTTTATTTTAATCTGGTTACGTTTCAATTTTTTTTTCTAAAAAAAAAAAACAAACCGCCTTTCATTTACAAAATATATCTTTCAGCGTGGCCCCAGAACGTCGTACATTTTGGGAGTGATCTCTCAACAGTGATAATCGAACCAATATTTTGCTTTACTTTGTCACGAAACACCATCGCTGATATTTTTGTATGTGGTATTTTTTTCTCTTGAGTCTGCGTTGCAGGACTGCGCAAACCACGCAGACAATAAAAATTCCTTTTGTTTCAAACATAAGTCAAAACTTTGTGGGCTGCTTTGGCTAGCCGGAAAAAAGTTCACTTTTCAATCCAGCTGCGCTGTCGTCGATGGGCCGGCTTGGAATGTCCCAGTAAAGTGGAGCAGAGGGGAGCGTCTGCGTGAACGTGTTTAGATTCGGGACCCTGCGAGTGCATTAAGTACAACGTAAACACGCGCAGGCATAGCAGACGCTGACCAAAAGCAGCCCGGTTCAACGAACTTACGGGTGAACAATCTAAACCAAGGCGCTCTAAAATGCATCCATCCAGGATGATAAAAAGATGACAAAGCTGAAGGGTGAGAGGCCCAACTTGAGCGCTCCGATCTTCATTTCCCTCAATGGACAACTTAAGGGATCTGTAAACAAACTTGAGATCCATCATATCAAAACCGTTTTAGGTTTTATTTGGACCTCTGGTATGTCTCATCGCCTTCGGAACATGACAGTAATTACGGCCATCGAGGTGCTCGGCTGAGAGAGGAGACTGCTTCTCCTCAGCCGATGTGACACGGACTTGTGACATCATAACCCGGCTTGTTTGGACGAAGCCTGAAATATGTAACGGCCATAATCACAGACGAAGCAGATTTATTTGGAGCCGTCATCCGCTGGCCTAATTCATACGCGCGGTTAACTGTTACTGCCGGGAGGGTTATCCTATAAACAAGGTAACATTGGATGGAAGGAATGTGAAGTTGAACGCACGATGAGGCTTGTTCTTTTGATTTGTCTCCGGTCATATCAGTGAAATAGTGTATGTTATCTTTTTTTTAAGAAGCAGCAGGAGTGCGACTATTTGGTGCCTTCATGTGTTCCGAAAAAAAAACCATTAAAAATAATGCCAACAGGCAAAGTGTAGTAACTGCTAAAGAAATTGGCTTTGACCACTCCCACAGCGGCGCAGCCCCCTTCCCCTCATGCGAGGCCACCACTAGTTTGCGAAATTACCAGCATCAGGTCTAAGCTGTACTGGTGCAGAGATACGCCGTTTGCCGCGCCGAATTTACGCGCCGAATTTACGCGATCACGAAAATAGAGCCCCATGTGTGAAGAACATGATTTCAGGGCGAAAGCTTTCCTTAAGCTGCACGTACGTTTTCAATTTGAGTTTTAACAAAATGCTTTCAAACCAGGTTTCTTAAGGAGGAAACTAAAAACCGATTTATACACCTGGGTTTTCGTAATATAGACGCGACAACCCCTTGACCGTCTCCACCTTGTTCGACGAGCGGTCGACTGCGCTCCAATTTCACGGTTGTATAAAACTGTTGTCACTCTTTTTAACTTGCTGGTATGAACCACCAAACATGTGCATAAAGCCTGCGGTGATTTAACAGCTATCAAATGAAAAGACAAATTATATCTCCTCATAAAAAGAGTTGACTGATTTGCGGCGCTCATTACTTCGGCGTGGCTCTCTTCGGTTACACCGTGTTATGTCGAATGATGTCACCCTTCCCCCACGTGTGCAATTGCGCCGACATATATTCCCGCAAAGGCAAATGGCGCCGCTAAATCAAACATAAGCGCTTTATGATGTCCCAATAAAGCAAAGTCACGGTGAGAGGGGGCGGGGGGGAATCCTATGGTGAGAGAAATGTGACTAACATCAACAGCCCTGTCTGAAATGTGAAATGAAGAAAGTGACCTCTTGTCCCATTGCTTTTTGCCCCACTTCCATCCATCAGCTTGGAGTCTGCACTAAAAGCAATCGGTCCGGCCGCTTGGCTCCCGCCTTTTAAAATATGTCCGACTGGATGGACACAAGTGTCGATGAGGTGGTATTTCTCAGACCCCTTGTCTCTGCCTTATCACTCCAGACGAAGGACTATAGAAAGAGCGAGCAGCGCGGGGAGGAGTGGAGCCCTAAAATGTGATTTAGTTGACCTCGCTGGTGCCGGAACTCACAACCAGAGCCTCATTAATTCTCCGGGTCATTTCGTTTGGACATAAATTGGTTCAAAATCGCAATGCTTGGACGACTTCCAGACATACTCACGGAGTTATGAAATCGCGGGCCCCACCCTTTCCGTCACTCCTCATGGCAACACTTTTCTGCTGATTTCCTGAGCACGACTGAGTAAATCACACGTCTGTACGGAGGAGTTACCAACTCCTGATCAGATGGGAGGAGGCCAGTGGAGCATTTTGTGGTTCTTAGGCAGGAAATGTACTACACCAGGGAAAAAAATAAAGTCATGACAAGTCATCATGTTCTGATGTGTAAAAATGTTCATTTTAAAGGACTACTATTGAATTAATTGGTTTGTATGTATTGGCGCATCATCTCCATCAGCACTTGATTGTGATTGTTAATGTTTGTTTCCGGTGAAAATCATTGTAACTAATTCATTTCGACGAGAACTGTTGAGGATCTTTCCAACCTGCACTTTGGTTGGTCAAGTTTCACAAACAACCACGCCAACAGGTTTTATAAAGTCGAATTATTGTGCATGTTTTAGTATTCACGTGATGGTTGCATGCCTCATGAGCCGCAGTCGGGTTGGCCGGTCCGTGTTTGCGCGAGTTGTGGCCCACACCGGCTCCTTGCAAGTGTTCTCATTTTGTATGTAGGTTTGCGTGGGAATTTCGACCTTTCTTTAGTTACACTTTTTTTTTTTTTTTTTAATATGACAGTCTTCACATAATTTTACTATCGCTCCCCAAATAGTCCTTCGTACTTTTATGAGATTATCAGAAGTGGTTGATCTTACTCTCCTTTGCTGAACCTTGGCCTGTTTTTTGGTTGCGGGGAGAGCAGAGAGCTGCGAGAGCCCAATAAATTACACTAATGCGCATATTTAAAGGGTTTCAGATTGCCTCTGGCCTGTTATCAAGACTACTCCAGCGAGAATGTAAACTACCACCTCCCTCGGGCCAATATTTAATGTTATCAGCCTTTTAAACAACTCCGATGTTTATGTTATGACAAATAAAAGGCAGATTATTTCAGCCTTTTCTCACTGCTTCACACAGGCTCCGCAAGACCCCCCCGCCTAATGCTGCTGTTGGTCTCATTAATTCCAGCAGAGATAGACCCAGATTAGTGTAAACACAGTGGTGAATCACACCTCAGGTTTATGGAGACCCACCAGGGGCGGAGGATGCTCCAATACGAGCCCACACAAGTGAAGCCGCCGAAAGCAAAACAAGCCTAAGCCTGCTGATAAAAGCCGGATTGTTGCAGCGTTTATTTGGACACCCGGTGCCTGGCCGAGGGCAGCGTCTAATGAGACAGCAGCCCGTCCAGAGTGGATTCATCACCACCGGATCGGGGTTATCACTCACCGCCGCGCTCCGCTACTTTTAATCAGGCTCCTCTCTGGTCACTCCCTTTCTGCTGCGGCTCATCCCTGAGATCCATCAGCATCCATCAGGACCTGGAGACAGGCATGGAATGATTTGCCTTGCGTGGTTTTATTTCACGACCTTCATGAAGGCAACGTATTTGCATCGGCCAACGTTTCTGCAACAAACCTTGGCGATGCACAACTTGTTCCCTCGCTAACAGGCAGCATTGTGTTATGCACTCACACAGTCATGATATGCGGCTGATTAGTTCAGCTCAGGCGGTGATTTAGAACTGTTAGTGTTACTCACCGGGGTGACATGACTTGATGCGTCCCCCCCCCCCCACTACCACAAACAATCACACTCGAGTCACGACACTGTTTCGTCCTGTTGTCTCGCATCTTTGTGAGGATAAATAACGCGTCATCTCATAACACGCCGGGTTAAGTTAAATAAACACACATAGGTGGCTGATAGAGACCTTAAATCTCGCGGTGTTGACGTTTGGACTAGTTAAGTCAGTAATGCCGCTCGTACCGCGATGATAAGCAATGTCGCGTCGAGAGCCTTTGTTAGAACGGGAACCTCACTTGAGACAAATATTAAGGTCGATATTTTTCAAATCGTCGCATCACAGAAGCACCGTCTGCAAAGATTCTCTGCTGCCAAAATGAAAGTGGAGAGAGTTTTATCTTCTATCCTTTTTCCCCAGACCATATTTCTGGAGTCTCCCGAAAATGTCTGAGGTACACGGATTCCGTATGTACTGTAGGTGGGCCACATTTTGGTCATCTGCAATCATGCATTTTTTTTTTCTTGACTTGTTACAAGGCTATAAAAAAAATGAGGCAATGACATGTTTTCTATTTTAGTGTGAAGGCTTCAGTCTGGAAGTTATTTGGTGTCTCTGTTGGACTTGCAGCTGTTTTTGTTTACAGATGGCTGAGAGAGTCTCATGGTAAATGTGCTTCCCTGCTGCATTTTGTCCATCACTCTCCAATTTGAATCCACCGTGAAATCATTAAGAAATGTCATCGACTTTTCACAAATGGTTTTCATTGACTCAAGGCATACCATTTTTTGCCGTCGCTGAGGAGCAAAAGGCACGGCAACTCGTCAGGGGTCTAGTGTGTCCGAATGAAGTCGTTCAGCGGTTGGACAGTTTAAGATGAAGTGGCGGACAGTCGACTCTTGAAAATGGAAAATCCACAATAAACCTGTTTCCGTGTTCAAGGGCAGCGGCAACCCTCTTTCCCTCCCTTCTCAGCATCCTCTCGGCCCGGCCAGATTACAGGCCGCGTAACGCGTATGTGCGTCGTGGCTTCGACCCTGCCGGCTGCTGAAGAGTGCTGCTTCCCGTCAAAGGCCTTAATGGAAGCCAGATGTCTCGCTGTCTGTTTTAGGCCCATAATCAATAGCCTCACTCTCGAGTTTCTCTTCCTCTCTCTCAGGCAGCTTGTTAGGAGAAAATCCGTGAGGGTGTGGCGTGTCTGTGTTGCAAACAATGCAAAGTGTGTCAAGAGTGAGATGAACTAATTAGATGTCCCACGTGGCTTGTTGGAGGGGAAGGAGGTGTCGTCCCTCCTTGCAGCCTCAACAAGCTGAGTGACACAACAGGCATGTTC